TATAAACCCGAAATTGCCGCTAGTACTATGTTGAGAAAGCGCTAAGAATTTGAGGGGCCCTCACCTTGTGCACCCCCAAGGCCATGATAATTGAAATTGAGAATTTGAGGGACCCTGGACTGGGAAATTTCGGATTCTTTTCCACCGCTCAGGCTGTATCTATATAACCGAAAATACCGAAGGAAGTTTAGAAGTCAAACTTCCGACAATATGGATAATATGGGCAGATGAAAAAGCAGAGGTGGGAAGAGTCAGAGAAGAGAAGAGAAGAAGAAAGAAGATCAGAGAAGAGAAAGAGTCAGAAGACATAAGATGTAGGTGCGCGGAAAGGTAGCAAAGTCGCGAAACGCTGTGGTTTTCCGGTGATTTGTGGCTCCGGAGGGTCGAAAAGTAGGCTCGCTAAAGCGGCAGGTAAGGAGCCATCTGGGGAGATGAGAGATGAAAAAGTGCACGCCGTTGTGGCGCGAATCACATTTCGAAGTCAACAGGTGCAAAGCACAACAGGTTCGGAGCACTTTTCGAAGTTGAGACGTTGACAAAGTGCACGCCGTTGTGGCGCGAAGCACGTTTCGAAGTCAACATGTACAAAGCATATCAAAACACCTCAGTTTTGGACCACTTTTGGAAGTTGAGATGTCGAAAAAGTGGACACCGCTGTGGCGCGAAGCACATTTCGAAGTCAACATGTAGAAAGCACACCATTCCCGGACCACTTTTCGAAGTTGAGATGTCGAAAAAGTGTACGCCATTGTGGCGCGAAGCACATTTCCAAGTCAAAATGTTAAAAATATCACATGTTCTGACCACTTTTGGGCGTTAAGGTGTCGTTTTGCGTGGCAGGCGCAAGGGTTGCTGCACCTTGCCAAAAGTGCACCCAAGTGATTGACCGCTGCTGGCGTTTCCTGAAGGATCGTCTCAGCCTTAATCAAAAGACAAAGGCCAGGTCGAACTTGCTGAGAGCCAAACTCCGATCTGCTCAGTACCAGTATTGGTACAAAAATGCGGACATGTGGGTGGCGACCGGATCTCTGTGCCAATGGGCCTCAAAGCGCTTTATGGGCAAGAAGTGAACCGCAGAGCTATGGGGGAAAATGTACTGCAATGTATTGCTTCGCATCTTCATTGTTCACAGTCGTGCCGAAAGCTTCTTTTTGATCCAATTCATGCCAGGTCTTCTTCATGGATTATGTCTCGATTGGTGTCTCGTTGTTCCTCGGCCCAAGTGAGTCAGCAAGGCCCTACACATGCGCTATGGTAATGCTACACATGGGCTCATGCATGCAAAGCAATGTATTGTTTGTCCTTTCCCACCCACCCAAGTGCTCTCAATGTTCATGCACCTATGTGGTCAGTTTCTTCACATGTGCTATGCTGCAGCTACATATGCGAACAAAATGTGTCCAGGCGCATGCAGGGCGCATGCGCCCAAGATACTTTCCTGATGCAGTGCTACAATAGGTGAGAAGATAAGAAGGAAGACAAGGCCATTCAAGGACATATCTAATACACAAAATGTAGGTCTTGGGGGGGGTAGCATATATATGTATATACATACACTGATTTTTCCAGCTATAAACCACCGTGGCGAGTTCGGGGATTTCCACGCAATCCCATGTTTGATTCCCAAAGGGTAGGACGGGTAAGATTTTCCCTTCAACCAATCCATTAAATCCTCAATATTGGTTGGTTTCCCCATGATAATCAACATACAAACCCACTCACATTCCATTAAATCACCATTGTTGTTAGTTAAATCCCACTAAATTTCCATTAAGTCACCATTGTCACTGGTCAAATATGCTTTTTCATCACATTCATATTCCATCATACTTCCATGAAATCACCATTGTCGCTGGTTAGATTCCCATATTTTTCTTGGCGAAAATCCCAAGCAGACCTCCACCGTTCACCCCCGGGCACCTGGGAGCTCTTGGTTCCCTCCATTCGTTGCCGTGCTGCATGGATCTCTACAGGCGGGCCACGAGGCCTCAAGCTGGGTCCCGGGGCGCGTTGCGATAGATGGATGGGTCAAACGACAAATTCTTATTATGACATGTATAGTATATGTGTATATATATATGTATGTATGTATGTATGTATGTATGTATGTATGTATATGTATATATATATATATGTATATAAATATATATATATATATATGTATATAAATATATATACATGTATAAATAATATAGGAATGTATCTATATCTATCGATCTATGACTCTGGAGGGTCGATCATTTGAACCATACTCAGAATCTTAGAAGATTTACTTTCTGGCAATGAGGCGATGGAACATGGGAGGTAGTCTCTTTTTGTGTCCCAAACTGCTTGCGTTCAATCATTTTCTTTCCATTCTGGAGCCCAGTAGGCTCTAGAAAAGTGGACATGCCTGAAAATTTTAGACCTAACGGGTCAACAAATTTTCGGCAATCTTGGTCTTGACCAATACCACACATCCCGTTTTCCGTGTGTCCAATTTGGGTCTGAACATCATCATTTTCCCCATTACAATGGCACTTGTTGAATGTTCTTCAGCAACACCAGCCACATTTTCGCCAAATATCAACCAGCAATTAACCAATCTCAGCCACATATTCACCTGAAATATCACCCCAATATCAAGCCAGCCAAATATCAACCACACATCCAAATATATAATATAATAACCGCATATGGAGGTTTCCTGAAATGGCGGTACTCCTGGATCATCCATTTTAGTAAGATGTTCCATTATAAACCATCCAGCTATTGGGGTACCCCCGTTTAAGGAAACCTTCACATATTGATCCCTTGGCACTATCCCAGGGTCCCTTGGCTGCCCTGCTGCATGGGTGGCTTCTCTGGTCGCTGCCCCAAGACGTTGGGTGGAGGCGTGCGACGTCCGTGGCGGTACTCGAAGTCGCCCATGAAGAACCTGTGAGGTTTTTAAGGGACCAAGGGATCTCAATTAAATAGGATTATCATTGGGAATCCATTGGGATCTTTGTAGATTAAGAGGATCTACTGGATTAGTTTTCACGGGATCAATGGGATTCATAAGATTGATTAAAGGGAATATCATGGAATTAACCTGTTGGATCCTGTCAGACTTGGGAGTTTTGTAGATTTGAATGGCATTTGGTTGGAGTAATTACTGGGAGTAATTGGATTGTGGGATTTTTTCATGGATGATTTGAGCGCCATTGGATGGATTTTTCTGAGATTTTCATGGGATTTGTGGATATGAATGGGTGGTGGTGAATATATTCATGTCGTTATCTGGTTGGTGGTATCAATCCCTCTGAAAAATATTAGTCAGTTGGGATGATTATTCCCAATATATGGGAAATATGGGAAACTAAAAAATGTTCCAAACCACCAATCAGATATGTTCATTATTTGAATTCATTGGGATCTTTATACATTGATGTAATGCAGCTGTCAGATCCCGTCAGACTTCGATTCCGAATGACTTTCATATATATCCCCAGCAGCTTCAAAGACCTTCTGAGCGATCGATTTGGGGGTTGCTTTTGGGGGTCCAAACATCTGTATATGAGCGACATTTAATTGTTGTATAACTGGGCAAATTGTAATATTTCGCTAACCTGAATTAAGACCATTTGGGGATGATTTGCCTTACTAACCATGATTTCCAGTGAGGTCGCAGTGAGGTCGTTATAATTTACCCAGATATAATACTATATAATGATATTTTTACACATGAATGGTACTCCTTTTGAATAAAAAGATGTGGTTCATTGGATTAGTGGGGGGGATGATGATGATTGGGATTCATTGGATGCTGGGCTGGGGTCAATTTCCATTGGGATGATACTGGAACAAGATCAATGATATGAAATTGGCAAATTATGGATGATTTAACTGGTTTATCTGACTTATATACTGTACATGGTTTCACGGACTTAATTCAGCAAATTTGCGGATTTTACCAGTAACCCTCCGTCCACTCCACTTGGGTTTCAATGTTGGTAAACATTGGTTCATACTTAATAGCAATCTTGCTATTTGATAACCACCTGAGACTGTTGAATATCAGGGGTGGGATTGGTGTATTCCAAACTGCTATTCAGATATAGTACGAGTGGTTTTCATGTTGGGGAATCTTGCTTCCAACAAGTGTTGTCCAGAAATGGGGGGTGCCAGTGGTGATGATCATCTTCAAGGGGATCCGGAGCATGTAGCATCGTTGGTTTGTAGATGATGTCCTGCGAACTGAGTTGCATGTTGAGGTTCCCTCCAGTAAATTCATATCGAAATGGAACACCCACTATTTGTAGTTCATTTTCCTTGGGAAACCATGGGTGTTCCATATCTATGTTAGCATACTGGAGGGTTTTTGGGTTTGGGGGTCTCTATGTTAGCCACCCATCGGGCAGGACATCCAAAAATCCAACAGGCGGTTGGATCCAATGGATCCAAAATACCCTGGGTATCCCATGGAAAAATGGGATAAACTAACATGGGATAAACTAACATAGCTATCCCATTTTACATCATTTTACAACTGATTTTTTTCCCCACTCTGAGATCCCCAAACCAATCTCGACCAGTGCCATTGGATTGGTAGGTGCCTGGCGATGAGCTCATGCTCGTGACATCAGACCAATCGACCCACACATGGCTGGTGATTCTCAGCATCAAACTATTCAATTTGGGAGATCAAAGTTTGAGTCACACAAGTAGCCATTGGAAGAATATAGTCTTGAGAAACCTCGAAAACAAACATATACTCCCAGCACAGCATCTATGATGGTAGTCTGGCCCATGAGCAAAACCAGACCAGACTTTTTGGAGATCAAACAACACCAAGCAGCGACGCTTTCGGCTAATATCTTCACGACTAGTCCGCTTGTCGGACAATCTGGTCATCTGCTAACTCTCATCTTTGGAGAGCGTGTCTTGGCTTTCCGTCCAACAGAACCCTAAAAATAGACACATATAAACACACACACACATATATATATATAACCATAAGAACATTTAACATACACACACACACACAGTCATTACAAATGTTATCAAAGCGTTACACACGTTTGGGTCAAGCCACTGAAATCACTTTTTCGGTCATCTCTTGCATGCCAGGGCTGCCAATGAAGGTGCCTCACTTCAGACCACATCTCTGAGGACTCACGGAGGGATCTGTGGGGATTTTGGAGCCTTCCCCAACTTTCAAACATGTGAATCTCGTCAAAACAGCTATTTATCCATTTCTACTACATGTATGAATGGTACTGGCCCCATCTGTTTATTTCACATAGCTAGGGACAGGCCTTGAACATCGGCATTTTGCATAGGTAAATCATCGAACCTACAGGGGCCATGGCTTCCATGGCGGTTTGTGAGGCCGACTGCTTCAGCTTGGATGCGTTGAACTTCGCTCGTGGGTCAACGTTTTCTGCCCCCCAAAAAATGGATGGTCCCCTACTAAAATCTGGGTCAATCCTAGATACCATACAAATCAACATGTAGCTGGCTAGTATCCCCATAGCAAAGAGGAAACCAACAAAAACCATCCGGGGTTGACCCAAATATCAGGTATATCATGGTATAGTTGATAATTTTGGGTGGTTGATTGGCTTAATCATCAATTTGACCATCGGTCCCTCTGGTAATCATAGCAATGGAAAATCCACGATTTACAGATACTTTTCTCAGCTATAAACCTCCATTTACATGGGATTTCCCAGCCACGTTTGAGTACCGCAGGGTTTATCCCATAATCATCCCATTCATATTGCATGAGCTATCGATATATGTTTGTTGATCAAAATTCCTTTATCCGGGAACGGCCATTCTTCGCGAGTAAACATGTTACTTTTGCGAAACTTTCGCGAACTCCATGTTTCTCTTTCGCGGAACCTATGTTAGGCAATCATGATATCCAACATTCGCGAAACTTTTGCGCAAAAAATATTACTTTCGTGAACTCGAAAAAAACTTTTGCGAGGGTTTCCAACATAACATGCACGGCTTTCGCAATTAAAACTCCTTACAAGGACCTTTAGATCGCTTACTATATCATGATATATCTGCTATAAACATCTATAACCACTAGTTCACCATGGTTTTCGCTTTACCCCAGAAACCAAAACATCAGAAAATCCACCGCTCCCTGCACAGTGTCTCGGTGCCACTGCCAGGACATCCATCCTGCATCGTCTCCGTTGAATCCGCGTTAGCAAGGTGAGAGCAGCACGCAGCTGCTGGAGATGCTCAGGTGTGGTGGTTTTCAGGAGGAACAAGCCACTTTCAGCCTCAGCCGAGGTTGCGGGGGCTCAAATAAGAGGGAACTCATCCATTTTTATGGGGATATTCATGCTGACATACTGTCATATTATGTGGTTGGTGGTTTCAACCCCTCTGAAAAATATGAAAGCCAGTTGGGGTTACTATTTCCAATATATGGAAAGTCATAAAAATCATGTTCCAAACCACCAGCCAGTTATGTCATATTGGTATTTTGTTTGAACTCTGAAAGTGGTTTTGTCTGAAAATGATGGGCCAGCCGGAAAGCCGCTAAAGGCCGTGACCATGGTTCTGCATCATTTTTCCTGTGAACATGACCATGATTTGGGGGCACAGACCAGTCTCTAAAACACCCAGAAACTGGCTATTCCATCTATGTCTGTTGGGGATTATTGGTTTCTTTCTTGCGTCTATCATATTCTATCATCGAACTTTTAATTTAAGGATTCGTCAAGCAGCAGTTAACTGTTTATGTCCTCAGGAAGGCCAATTCTTCAGGTTTGGGTATTGGAAATACTGCCAATAGTGTTAGCATGTATTAGCAGTGGCAATCATATGAAATTAAACATGATATGCATAATCTTAGAAAAGAGTAGTGAAAATTTGATGAAAGCAGTTTGGAGCCTGCTAGGCTGTTGAACACCGAGTCCTCATCCTCAAGAGGAATTGACCAATTACTGAGGGGCTGTTGAGTTTTGTGGATTTACCACCTACTAGTAGTGTGCTGCAACATGGTGTAACAATCCTGTTCAAGGATGGATGATAAATGATATAAATGAAAATCCCTAGAAGCTACTAGAAGCCCTTTTTGTTCGTGAAGGCTATACAGTGTAAATGGATGCCTTTCAGTCCAGTTGGTCGCTACTCACCTGATAGTCCGACAGATGAAGTTGCCCTCCAGTAAATTGACATGACGACACCCTTCATCGGGGTTGGGAGATTAGTTTCCACTAAACGGGTGATTTTCAGGGTCGAACCGTTAAATGTACCGATCCCGAGGGTCGAAGTGCTTGTCAAGTTGTACTGATCACCGACAATGCGAACATCTTCAAAAAACCCCAAGAGGACGAATCACCGAGTTTCTCAAGAGATGGGTGAAACTTTGCCCACATTTTTGGGCAAACCCATTGCTGCGGTTTTGACAGTACAAGATCTTGGGTGAGGTTCTATGACTTTTCTCTGATCTCTGGTTGATCCTGGAAGTAATGTGATGGATGACTTGGCAATATGGTAATACCATGTCGTATGACAAATCAAGAGGCTTCATACCAAACTACCTTGATCAGTGCAATTAATACGCGTGTATATGTATATACGATTATATACATCGATATACACATATTTGTATACTGTACACTAACGATCATAGCTATCGTCGTTCTTTTCATCATACGATCAGTAGTTGTACAGTAGACTTTCTAAATAACATTCATCGTCAATCATCATCAATTGTCTAAATCTAAACCATACCCCACCATCATTCAAGATCTTTGCTACTATAGTCATCAAGAAATATGATATTAGTAATTCTCATTATTCTCAACAACGTTGATTAACAATGTCGCAGTGATGAATATCTTGATTGATTAAACCACGCCAATCATCATAAACAGTGTTATAAAATGATAGTTCTTAATTCATGGTAATTATCAACAATGTAATTATCATTTAACAAAATGGTAGCTTGATGCAATCTTGAAGACCACCCCCAAAAAAAACATGTCCGAAATCTACACCTAGATGACTATTAATATGGAGGTTTCCTGAAATGGGGGTACCCCAAATCATCCACTTTAATAGGATTTTCCACCAAATAAGCCATCCAGCTATTCAACTACCACCATTTTAGGAAACCCCATATCATGGAATATTCACAATTGGAATATACCAATCAATTGTTGCACGGTGGGTTATATCATGGAATATTAAAGCCCCATGTCTAGTAATTGCAAACACCCACTAGATTGTAGTTAGATATAATTAGATATTATTAGTAATAGCTAATTGCTCAAAAAACCCATTGTCATGGAATTATCATATCACACTGCCAATCATAATTGTAATTAGATAATGATAATATTAGTAACTATCATGATAATAGTAATAATTCCGATTATTGTCATCTGGTTGCTGGTTTCAACCCCTCTGAAAAATATGAGTTCGTCAGTCGGGATGATGAAATTCCCAATATATGGAAAGTCATAAAATTCATGTTCCAAACCACCAATCAGATATATAGAAATATCACCTATAACCCATAATAGCTATGTTAGTTTCAATAGCCATGTTAGTTTACCAGAGGTTAACTATCATGATAGTAATAATTCCAATTATTGTAATTAATGATCATAACATTAAAAATATATTAATATTACACTATTAGTAATTATCATAATATTAATAATGATATCTAATAATTGTAATCATCACACGGCCAAAACACGGGAGGCGACAGCAACGACCACTGGCACTTGCTGGCACCTCAGAGGTGGCCGCCACTGGGTTTTGTGGGTGACCTTGGAAATCTTTAACGATTACACAATATACCATGCATACATCTTGGAGATGTGGATATTTTCCGAATTTTACATATGATATACAATTGATATATATATATATATACTATATCCAACTAATTCCAAATAATTCCATCCAAACATACATTCTCAATCTTACACCTGTAATTTACTTGTTTGTTGGTGGTTGTTGATGTTTATTTGTGAGGGCCCACTGGAGGTCATCGCAGAATTACCACAAAAACTGTTGATTTAATCTGAGATTTCATGATATTTATAGTCAATTTATAGCGACAATTAATGATAATTAATGTCGGTTTCGCAGACACAGCAACCAGCACGATGGCAACAACATGACAAGCCCAGGCACCGCAGCTGCCGAAGTGACTTTGCAGTGCCTGGTGCCAGCTTTGGTGAAAGTTCCAGTGGGATGTTGATTGGTGCTGATTCTTTTTTGCGAATATGCCATGTTTTCACAGCATGTCGTTGAGGATATCAGACTGACCACAAAACTGACCGGGGAAGCCAGCCATGGGGGTTGGATCGCCTCCTGAATGGACGCCTCCAAGATGGTCGCTGAGGGCATTTCCTCCTGGAATTCCCAGCAGACGATCAAAGGATTGGTTAGGTTAGGGAAAATCCTAGCTGGAAACGGTCGGCCGCTTTCGAATATAGGCTTTTCCTGCAGATTTTCCCAACAATGCTGGGATATCAACTTGTTGGGGCCTATATCCCACTAAAATCGATTTTTCATTTCTATGATTTGTTCAATTCTATTATTATTGGTTTCATGGCATAAACAGCCAGGTTGTCCACTGGGAAGCAGGGCAGGAGCCGCGTCCTGTCCAGCGAAAGTCAGTTGCACCCGCAAGTAGCACCTGCCACAACGACACTGATCAATGGGTATGGGTCAAGTTATTGACCCCAAAAATGCTTGGATGGTTCCAATAATTGGATGGTTATCCGCCGACCCCAGCCGGATGCTGGGGGAGCGCGCTGGAGAAGGCATGCCCTGAAGAATGCTCAAGGGACAGACAGAGACAGATAGAGACAGAGAGACAGACAGACAGACAGAGACAGACAGATAGAGACAGAGAGACAGAGAGAGACAGAGAGAGAGAGAGAGAGACAGAGAGACAGGCAGACTGATAGACAGACAGACAGATAGACAGACAGACAGATACAGACAGATACAGACAGACAGACAGACAGAGAGACAGACAGACAGA